CTTCAGTCAGACCTAAAAATCTCAGTATTTAGAGATAGGGCAGAAGCAAAAGACTGAAATGACATGCTAGGAGATAGAAAATGGCAAAACCATGGAAGCCAAGAGAAAATTGGATTGTTGAAAAGAGAATGATCAGGTCTAGCAGGTGGTGTAGTAGTTATGTTGCTGAATTCCCACATGGTTGATTGCAGTTGAGTCCTGGACCTGGTGGCTTGAAAATCACGTCAGGTGTGTGTGTGTGTGTGTGTGTGTGTGCACGCGTGCGCGCATATGCCCAAGATCCCAGGAGGAGAATGGAGGAGAAGGGAATGCAGAATGGCTATCCCCCTGGGGGATGATTTCTCAGTTTTCCTGTTACTATTGCTGTCTCTCTCTCTCTAGCAAGCGCACATGCTGTATAGCAAAAACCTTTAAAAATAAAAAAGAGAGTGGTCAATTCAAATTAATGCTGCTGAGGGGTTGAGTTACACAAAGGCAAGTACATGACAATGTACATATTATCATGGAGATCATTGGTCATTCCTGTGAAACAATTTCAGAAAGATAATGGGCAGGGAATTCATATTGGAATGTTTCAAATCATATAAGATATTTGAGAAAGTTGAGATTAAAATAGACATTTCTGAATGTGTTTATGTGAAGAGAAGCAGAGATCTGATGTAATAAAGTGAGAAAGATATAGGTTTAAGAAAGGCTAATTAATATAATTAAAAAAAAAAAACCCAAAAAACAAAAAAAACAGAGTTTGGGCCAGTAGGCGGCATAGAAGTTAAGATGTCTGAATTTCACATAACTGCCAACTGTGCAGTTATGGTCCTGGCTCTGGCTGCTTGAGAAACATACTGGACACATGTGCATGTATGCCAAAAATCCCAAAAGGAGAATGGAGGAGAAGGGTTTGTGGTGTGGCCATACCCAGGGGAGTGATTGTCACTTTCTCTCCCTGTCTCTCTGTCTCTCTCTGCTGAGTGCATGTGCCCTATAGCAAACTTAAAAAAGGAATGAACAGAGTTCTGTGAAGAAGTGGCAAATAAGGCTTTGTAAACACTGAAGAAGTATACAAAGGGGTTCTATACACAAACATACAAAGGTAGGGCAGTGCTATTCCCTGTTTAAAGAGAGGGAAGGAAACAGGAGCTATGAGGTAAATGATTTATCATTAGATAAGATGTGCCAGTAGAATACATGGCAGCCCTGATTTGATGTATGACCTTCAGATTCTAAATTTTTCTCAAATCCTACAGAATTTGCAAGTTTGTTATGCTGAACGTGTTTAACTATAGGGTATATAGATGGAGGTAATAAGCCTAGTTATTTAGGCCAGTGGAATTTCTGAAAACTACAACTCAAATAAGACTAACAGTATTAAGTATGATTTACATTTCCAAAACCTTAATCTTCTCATTTTGAAAAAAAAGTGTGTGTGTGTGTGTGTGTGTGTGTGCACGCGTGCGCGCATATGCCCAAGATCCCAGGAGGAGAATGGAGGAGAAGGGAATGCAGAATGGCTATCCCCCTGGGGGATGATTTCTCAGTTTTCCTGTTACTATTGCTGTCTCTCTCTCTCTAGCAAGCGCACATGCTGTATAGCAAAAACCTTTAAAAATAAAAAAGAGAGTGGTCAATTCAAATTAATGCTGCTGAGGGGTTGAGTTACACAAAGGCAAGTACATGACAATGTACATATTATCATGGAGATCATTGGTCATTCCTGTGAAACAATTTCAGAAAGATAATGGGCAGGGAATTCATATTGGAATGTTTCAAATCATATAAGATATTTGAGAAAGTTGAGATTAAAATAGACATTTCTGAATGTGTTTATGTGAAGAGAAGCAGAGATCTGATGTAATAAAGTGAGAAAGATATAGGTTTAAGAAAGGCTAATTAATATAATTAAAAAAAAAAAACCCAAAAAACAAAAAAAACAGAGTTTGGGCCAGTAGGCGGCATAGAAGTTAAGATGTCTGAATTTCACATAACTGCCAACTGTGCAGTTATGGTCCTGGCTCTGGCTGCTTGAGAAACATACTGGACACATGTGCATGTATGCCAAAAATCCCAAAAGGAGAATGGAGGAGAAGGGTTTGTGGTGTGGCCATACCCAGGGGAGTGATTGTCACTTTCTCTCCCTGTCTCTCTGTCTCTCTCTGCTGAGTGCATGTGCCCTATAGCAAACTTAAAAAAGGAATGAACAGAGTTCTGTGAAGAAGTGGCAAATAAGGCTTTGTAAACACTGAAGAAGTATACAAAGGGGTTCTATACACAAACATACAAAGGTAGGGCAGTGCTATTCCCTGTTTAAAGAGAGGGAAGGAAACAGGAGCTATGAGGTAAATGATTTATCATTAGATAAGATGTGCCAGTAGAATACATGGCAGCCCTGATTTGATGTATGACCTTCAGATTCTAAATTTTTCTCAAATCCTACAGAATTTGCAAGTTTGTTATGCTGAACGTGTTTAACTATAGGGTATATAGATGGAGGTAATAAGCCTAGTTATTTAGGCCAGTGGAATTTCTGAAAACTACAACTCAAATAAGACTAACAGTATTAAGTATGATTTACATTTCCAAAACCTTAATCTTCTCATTTTGAAAAAAAATAATCAAACAAGTTTTTATTATTTTCTTTCTGTACTTACTTTGTTCTGTGACTATGATAAATGTTTTCAATGATCTCATTTAATCTTCATATGAACCTCATTAAATATATTCTATAAAAGAAAAGAATGCCTTTGTTAAAACTGGGCAACTCCAGTGTTTAAGGATATGAAAGACGAGAAGGAAAAAATGAGTAAGAGAAGTCAGAAAGATGAAAGCTTGTTAACAATGGAGGATATTTGGAACTCAAGATAGGTAGCAAGAGAATCAATAAATAGAGTTTAATATACATCTCAATGGAGAGTCAAGAGAACAATGTTCTTCATTTTCTCAGTAAGCTGGAGGCGAGGCTATATTTACAGATGTTTAAAGGACCTTGAAGATATATGCTAGGGACCAGCAGTTAGTGTAATGGCTATGTCGCTGGACTCCCATGTAGTCGACCACAGTTCGAGTCCTGGACCAGGTGGCTTAAAACTCATGCTGGGCACATGTGCATGCATGCCCAAGATCCCGAGAAGAGAATGGAGGAGAAGGGATTGCGGCGTGGCCATCCCCCCCAGGGGGTGATTTCTCGCTTTCTGTCTCTCTGTCTCTCTCTCTCTGTCTGGCGAGTGCACATGCCCTATAGCGAAAACCTCTCCAATCTATACACAAACATACAAAGGTAGGGCAGTGCTATTCCCTGTTTAAAGAGAGGGAAGGAAACAGGAGCTATGAGGTAAATGATTTATCATTAGATAAGATGTGCCAGTAGAATACATGGCAGCCCTGATTTGATGTATGACCTTCAGATTCTAAATTTTTCTCAAATCCTACAGAATTTGCAAGTTTGTTATGCTGAACGTGTTTAACTATAGGGTATATAGATGGAGGTAATAAGCCTAGTTATTTAGGCCAGTGGAATTTCTGAAAACTACAACTCAAATAAGACTAACAGTATTAAGTATGATTTACATTTCCAAAACCTTAATCTTCTCATTTTGAAAAAAAATAATCAAACAAGTTTTTATTATTTTCTTTCTGTACTTACTTTGTTCTGTGACTATGATAAATGTTTTCAATGATCTCATTTAATCTTCATATGAACCTCATTAAATATATTCTATAAAAGAAAAGAATGCCTTTGTTAAAACTGGGCAACTCCAGTGTTTAAGGATATGAAAGACGAGAAGGAAAAAATGAGTAAGAGAAGTCAGAAAGATGAAAGCTTGTTAACAATGGAGGATATTTGGAACTCAAGATAGGTAGCAAGAGAATCAATAAATAGAGTTTAATATACATCTCAATGGAGAGTCAAGAGAACAATGTTCTTCATTTTCTCAGTAAGCTGGAGGCGAGGCTATATTTACAGATGTTTAAAGGACCTTGAAGATATATGCTAGGGACCAGCAGTTAGTGTAATGGCTATGTCGCTGGACTCCCATGTAGTCGACCACAGTTCGAGTCCTGGACCAGGTGGCTTAAAACTCATGCTGGGCACATGTGCATGCATGCCCAAGATCCCGAGAAGAGAATGGAGGAGAAGGGATTGCGGCGTGGCCATCCCCCCCAGGGGGTGATTTCTCGCTTTCTGTCTCTCTGTCTCTCTCTCTCTGTCTGGCGAGTGCACATGCCCTATAGCGAAAACCTCTCCAAAAAAAAAAAAAAAAAGATACATTCTATATTCTAGAGCAGTGCTCTCTAATAGAAATTTCTGCAGTGATGGAAATATTTTTATCCGAATGGTCCAATATGGTACTACAAGTCACATGTGGCTACTGAACACTTGTTTCATAGGGCTACGGAACTGAATTTTTATTTAGCTTTAATAAATATAAGTAACCACCATATCAGTAGCAACCATATCAGATAGGGTAATTCTAGAAAAAATATTCAAATTGTGTGATTAATTAGGGCATTACAAATCATAGGGCTTATTAGCTTACACATGGACCCAAGACTGAGATTCAAGACAGGAAATTAACTTTTGTGTTTGGAAATTTAGTTTGACTAGAATGATATCAATGTATGTACTTAAGAAATGAATGGATTTAAACATATTTTCACTTCTTTTTTTTCAGGGTATTCCTGACTTCACGAAGAACACAGAAAACACTACTTCTTCTCCATTTCTCTGTGAAAGTTTTCTTGTGATATCAATTCTATGGATACTTAATATTTTATCTACTCAATGAGAGCCAAAGCTCCTAAGAGTAGAAAACATACATTATAGTAGTCCTCTATGTCTCTGAGGACTACTAGCTTATTTTGTTAAGGTCTAGCAGTGGAAACCAGAGGTGATCTTCCCAGGTGGAATTTTAGAGGTTGAAATCTATAATCCTATGTATTATGGAAAGTATACATAGAGGGTGAAGGAATCTTGTAAAAATTGACAAGGAGAATTTTCAGGAGCCATGTCAGGCTCCAATATTACATCAACTCATCCAGCTGTCTTCTTGTTGGTAGGAATTCCTGGTTTGGAGCACCTTCACGTCTGGATCTCCATCCCCTTCTGTTTTGCTTATACTCTGGCACTGTTAGGCAACTGCACCCTCCTTTTTATCATCCGTGCTGATACAGCCCTCCATGAGCCCATGTATCTCTTTCTGGCCATGTTGGCAGCCATTGACTTGGTTCTCTCTTCTACAACATTGCCCAAAATGCTTGCCATTTTCTGGATCAGAGATCGAGAGATAAACTTCTATGCCTGTCTAGTTCAAATGTTCTTCCTCCACTCCTTCTCCATCATGGAGTCAGCAGTGTTGCTGGCCATGGCCTTTGACCGATATGTGGCCATCTGCAAGCCACTGCACTACACCACAGTCTTGACAGGACCTCTTATCACCAAAATTGGCATGGCTGCTGTGGCCCGGGCAGTGACATTAATGACTCCGCTTCCCTTTCTGCTCAGACGCTTCCACTACTGCCGAGGCCCAGTGATTGCTCACTGCTACTGTGAACACATGGCGGTGGTAAGGCTGGCGTGTGGGGACACACGCTTCAACAACATTTATGGAATTGCTGTGGCTATGTTTATTGTGGTGTTGGATCTTCTCTTTGTGATCCTGTCTTATATCTTTATCCTTCGGGCAGTTCTTCAGCTTGCCTCTCAGGAAGCTCGGTACAAGGCATTTGGGACATGCGTGTCTCACATAGGTGCCATCCTGTCTACTTACACTCCTGTGGTCATCTCCTCAGTCATGCACCGGGTAGCCCGCCGGGCTGCTCCTCATGTTCACATACTCCTTGCTATATTCTATCTTCTTTTCCCACCAATGATCAATCCCATTATCTATGGTGTCAAGACCAAGCAAATTCGTGATCATGTGATCAATCTATTCCAGAGAAAAGATTTATAGATGGATAATTCTTTTTTTTTTTAACCTACTATTAAATATTCAGTAGATACTGAATTGAGGTGGAGAGAAAAAATACAAGTAGGAAAATTGCAGAAACTTCTTTTGTGTCAATTTTTCAGTATTACAAATAAAATGAGACTCTGTTTACCATCGAACCACCAATTATGTCAGATCAGGTTTGGACCTGTAGTCTGGTCTAATAGATGAAGTTGGACCTTCCCTTTATCATGAAGTCATTACGTGATTGAAGAAAACATAAAGAACCTTCCATAGTGATATTGTTATGTGGGTGAAAGACAGTAGGAGTATTGGCTAAGATTGGTCTTAGCAGCTGAGATTTTGGTGGCCTCTTTATACACAGTATGAGTGAAGAATTGAAGCACAGATTTTGTAACTTAAAGGCCAACATCCCATCTTGTACTGAAATTACATCTGTATGTTTTCCAATAAATGGCCTCCAGACTCTAGTGCTTTTTTTAAGCCTACTATCTTCTCAGGTAATGAGCCCTACTTAGACGCTCCACTTGGAAGTAGACTTATCTTTTCCATTAAGTTAGTTTCTTTATGACTTCCTTTTAGACCCACATTCATGGCCAATTCTTTTATAGAGCTCTTAAAAAAGGAGTCTTCTGATAGCCCTTTTAATCAATTTATATCATCGTATAACTAACTTTTCACATGCATATGTCTGTTGTCTCCTAAAAAACCCTAGTAACATTCATGGAATGAGTGAATAGATAAAAATAGTTGAAAAACATATTTAAACTATGGACTGTGGAAGCAGAGTGATAACACCTTTCCCTCTTTAAACTGAGACTTCTGAAGACACTGAAGATCTTATAATATGTAGTTGTGGTTAGCCCTCTGTCCCTCTATCACAGGAAAGGAACTTTCTTACTCCTCTAATGTTAAACTTTGCTGTACCCCTTGCTTTGGTGAATGGAATTTGAGTGGTCTGGAAATGTGGCCTAATGATCAGCAACTTTAAAATATGGTTCTGTATGTTGGATCGGTTTCTCTTACTCTTTTCCTCTGCCACAGGAAAGAGCATGTCTCCTATCAGGTTTTTTTTTCAGTCTAGAATCACAATGCAGATATACAGAGCAGATATGAATCTGATGCCAATCTATAGAACAGATACAGCTCACTCAGGTGTTCATGTAACATGAACAAGGATGGTTTTATTGTTTTCACAGTAGATCACTGAGCTCTGTGAGTTTTTGGTTTTCCACAGCATAACCCAGAGAAATATGATTCCTGACCCTATGAAATATATCTTTCATTTCAAGGTATGACAATTCAAGACTGAGAATTTAAATAAAAGTGAAAGCAATATAACATTTTCTCTTCCAATATAGTCTAAAAATAATATTGGATTTCACTTATCTTTCTGCTTTTCTTTTACTTCATACACAAAATCTCAAGATTGAGCAGTCTTTTAGCTAGTTATTAAAATTTTTTTAATGATAAGGTTTTAAAAGTGGACACATAATAAATGCATATATTTGTGGAATATAGTGTGATTTTTCAGTACATGAACACAATGTGTAATGATCAAATTAGGGTAATTTATTTATCCATCATCTCAAGTATTTGTCATTCTTTTGTGTTGGGAACATTTAAAATCCTTTCTTTTAGTTAATCTGAAATATATAATAAGCTATTGTTAACTATGGTTAGCCTACTATACAACATTAGAACTTCTTTCTCTTATATAACTATAATTTTGTAACCATTATCCAGCATCTCTTTATCCTCCGCTTTTCACTACCCTCTAAGCCACTAGTAATAAATATTTTCTTGTCTACTTTAATGAATTCAAGTGAAAATGTGGTATTTCTGTGCTTAGTAGGTTGTTTTACTTAATGTAATGTCTCCTAGACTTGTCTACAGTGCCTCAAATAACAGGATTTCATTCTTTTAAATTGCTGAGTAATATTCCATTATGCACGTACGTACTGTCATTTCTTTTTCTTTTTTTTTAAAGAGAGCTTTTTTGCTTTGTGTGCATGTGCTCGCCAGAGAGACAGAGAGAGACTGTACTGTAATTTCTTTCTTTCTCTCATTTTTTTTTTTTTTGTAATTTGTTTATACATTTGTCTGTTGATAGACACAGGTTGTTCCCATATCTTGGCTATTGTAAACAATGCTGCAACAAACATTGGAGTGAAAATATCTTTACAGTCAACTAATTTCCTTTGGATATATGCATTGTAGTAGAATTGCTGGATCGTATTGTAATTGCAGTTTTAATTTTTTGAGAGACTTTCATATTGTTTTCCATATGACTATACTAATTACGTACCAACAGCATGCATTTTCCTTTCTCATATCCTCATCAGTACTTGTTATTCTTTTTTTCTCTGGATAATAACCAATCTGAGTGAGATAATAAATATCTCACTAGCTTTGATTTGCATTTCCCTGATAATTAGTGATGTTGAGCATTAAAAATATATTTAGCCATTTGTATGTCTTTTTTTGAAAACTGCCCAGATTGACTACCCACTTAAAAATCAGATTATTGGTTTTTTTTCTTTTAATACTGAGTCATTTGAGTTTCTTTCATATTCTGGTTATTACTCTTGTGAGATGTATGGCTTGTAAAAATCTTTTTCCATTCTGTAGATTGTCTCTTCACTCTGTTCATTATTTCATTTGCTGTGCAAAAATTTTTTAGTATGGCCGAATCCCATTTTTCTATTTTTGTTTTTGTTGCTCATGCATTTAAGATTTTATCTAAAAAACTTTGCCCATACCAGTCTTCTAGTGTGTTTCCTCTGTGTTTTCTTCTAGTAATTTTATAGTTCCCAGTCCTTAATTTGTCTTCAACTAATTTTGAGTTGATTTTTGAATATAGTAAGACATAGTAGTCTAGTTTCTTTCTTTTAAGAATGGATATACAATTTTCTCAGCATTAGTAATTAGAGAGACTGTTGTTTCCACAATGATTTTTCTTGATGTCTTTGTAAAAAATTAGTTGGCCGTGTGTACATGAATTTCTGTCTATATTTACTATTCTATTTCATTGGTTTATGTTCTTTTTTTAATGCTGGAATCATGCTGTTTTGGTGTATTTTGTAGTATATTTTGAAGTCAGGGAGTTGTGATGCTTCCAGAATTACTTTTTATACAGAATTTCTTTGGCTCTTTTGGGTCTTTTGGAGTTTCATAGAAATGTTAGGAGTTTTTTTTTTTTCTATTTATCTGAAGAGTGCTGGTGGTATTTTGGTAGATTCTTAAATACATAGATACTTTTGAATAGTATAAACATTTTAATAATTTTAATTCTTTCAAACCATGAACAAGGAATGTCTTTCCTTTCTTTTGTTTTTTCTTTTCTTTTCTTTTCTTTTTTGGTGTATTCTTCAATTCCTTTCATTGTTGTTTTATAGTTTTCATTGTAGATTTCTTTCATGTCCTTGGTTAAGATTACTCTCAAGTATTTTATTTTACTTTATTTTAACTATTGTAAATGGGATTGTTTTCTTTTTATGAATATTTTTAAAAAGTTATTTATTATTATCATAATCTTGTTTAAATTACATTGAATCACATATAACTTTACAGTTTATTATATTTCTTTTTCCAGAAGGAGTACCATGCATATCAATCAATATAAAGACATTAAAATCCCCATCATGATCATCCAATAACTTTTCATTTTTTTAGATTATTATTATTATTCCAATTTTTAAAAAACATTCAATCACTATTTATCATTTTGCTTGTAAAAAGACTTTATCCAACATAAAATACTTCTCAGATTGGTCCAGTTGAGAATACTATACATGTCATCATCAACAGGTAAAAAATCATATCTGTATCCCATTAATGTCATGACTCTCTATTTGTTCTCTTGCTATCCTTCTCCACACTCTTCTCCCACCCTGTTCCACATTGTCTTATCATCGCTATTTTCACTTCTTTTATGCCCTCCAATATTTCGATCTCTACCATCAAGTGTCGATATATATTAAGTGGGTACATACAATATCTTTCTTTCATATCCTGGCTTACTTCACTCAGCAATAGATCCTCCATGTCTGACCACTTTCTATCAAATGCCATGGTCTAGTTGTTTTTTATGGCTGAGCAGTATTCCATAGAGTATATGTGCCACACTTTTTCAATCCATTCATCAGCTTGTGAAATGAGATTGTTTTCTTAATATTTGTTTCAGCTAGCTTGTTATTGATGTATAAGAACACTACTGATTTGTGTATTTTGATTTTGTATCCTGCAACTTTAGTGAATTTATCAGTTTTAAGAGTTTTTGTGGAGCCTTTAGCTTTTTTCTCTCTATATAATCATATCATCTGTATAAAGAGGCACATTTGACGCTTCTTTTTCAAATTTAATGAATGACTTCAATTTCCTTCTTTTACCTAATTGCTCTAAGACTTCTAATACTATATTAAATGAGAATGGAAAAATAGACAGCCTTGTCTCAACTTAGTTATTAGATAAAAACTTTCACCTTTTCTCCATTCAGTCTGATGTTAGCTTGAAGTTGTTCTATATAGCCTTTATTATGTTGCATTGCTGCCCTAAATTTAGTACTTGTCATATAAGGAACTGTTTGGGAAATGTCTATTTATTTAGCCTTCATCTGCCGCAAAACTAGATGGTTGTCACTCTGTTTGAAAACCCTCAACTGTATGTGAGCCGGTGGTGAGCAACCAAGGGCACAAAAGAAAGCTGGCTGTGTGAACACACCTTTCTGCAGAGTAGTGAGCACCGGAGAGAGCTTTCCAATGCTGGGGCCAGGGCATGTCTGAGTGAGTCATGAGAAGAACATTCTCTATGGCTTTTAGGAACTTGCTCCAGTTTCCCCTTTGCTTTATCCTCCTGTCCTCAGGATCTCTCAGTGCATAACAAGGGCTGTATTATCATTATTAAAAGGCAAGTTTTTATTTATTTATTTCTTAATGTGCCAGACACTATATAAACATTTTACACTTCTCATTGTGTTTCTATAACAAACTCATAAGGAACTA